CCTACCGGTGAAATTCCTATCGTTTTGTACCGCCTGTAGATAAATCGATTCACTATTTGTACAAGTTAATATGTTTGTACTAGGCGAATAGATAAGTGAACCGTCCAATCAGTCAAATAATTGTATTTTTCGGCCAAGTGACGTGATTTTTCCAGATACGTTACTACGTCCGACATAACCAGCAAACAATAATGACCGATGCTATATTTTTGTTTGGAGAGAGTCAATGATCAACCGTCTCCTTGGCGAAGAAAAATTGAAATGCATTACGTATTTTCTCTGTACCACTACCAACGCCACTGCAGCACGTGACACGACGTGGGCCCCATATAATAGCGTATATATTGTTTACCAGTAATAACGTGTCATGATTATGAACCGGTTAAATTTTAATAAAAAAGTAAAAACGATATTTGTTTACCTTAAAAGCCGAATGACGAAGCGAAAAAAATGAAAAATCCGTAGTTTACGAAGACGTATCGTCGCTAAATAAGATTCGCGATGTATATACGATTATTATTATTATTATTATTATTATTATTATCACGATAAGATATACGTATAGATTATAGATACTAGCTGATGTTGCGTTTTACTTTAAAAAAAAAAATCTATATTATGATTTTATATTCTGAGTGAATATTGTTAATTTTTGTTTTGTTTTGTTTTTTTTTTTTTTTATTTATTTCTCCTGTCCCCGACATTAAAACCCTCGTCGATTCCTTGCAGACCGTTACATGCTAAAATGCCCGTTCGTCGTCACGCAGTAGCGGATCCAGTGGGGAGCCACGGGCATCGCCCTCCCCCAGGCTGCAGTCTATACAACAGTTTTTACTTCCATAAATAATTAATTATTGTTTAACGCTTTAATGCGTACATACATATACATATATACACGATTTTCAAGGAAGAAAAGCAGAGAGTGATGAATGATACTATGACGTACGTCCATTATTGTTACGTTTCTCTGTCTGTGAACACATTTTCTACCAGCGATCTTACTTCAATCAAAAAATAAGTTAGCAATGGTTTATCGGCGCTCGCAGATATAAACGAAACAGTTATTAACCGTATATCGTGTCCTGCCGTCTCGACTTCCTACCTACAACAGTGGACGCACCCACACCCGGTATCAGTCCCTTCCTCCCTCTCCAAAATTCAACTCCGGATCCGCCGCTGTCGTGACGGCCGGTTCCCGTTCTACAAAGTTTAAATATTGTACGGTTGCGATTCAATTTCGTCGACCCGTGTCTGATACGTTCGGATTGTTTACCGTGGCGCAGCGCTTTTCTCACGCTGCGCACCGGTCAAAGGTCGTACGTAACCGCAGAGAGAGAGAGAGAGAGAGAGAGAGACAAAACAGAGGCCCTTGCCGTCGCCTGTGACCGGCGTTAGCGGCGTGTGAGTTGTCGGCGCGCGTCGTCGTCGTCGTCGTCTACAAAGTATTCCTTAAAATAAATATGCGGTAGACCGCACGATTTGTTGAGTGTAAATTACAGTGATATTTACGTGATCTGCCGCACGGTTGTTCGCGAATGTGATCATCGGCACGATCGTCGTAGTTCGACAACCACGTCACTGTACGCAACGAGCCTTTTTGCCGTACCCGCCCGTCCGACGGCCGGACATTAAAAAAAAAAAAACAAAAAAAAAACCCACGTGTCTTTCGTCACGAAAGTTCACTGAAAATATATTTTGAATATCCGTCGCCCGAAAACACCGATTCTAGCGATCGCGTCAAGTATCGCGACGAAACCAATATATGCATATTGTTTCCGGAAGGGGAGAGGGGGGGGGGGGGGTTTGAAGGTTGTACACTCTCATGGTCTCAAAACAAAAATTAGTTCATTAAAAATGTCTATATTTTATAAAATTCATTTTTAGCCTTTTAAGTAACGATTACAAAAATGTTTGTATATTTATTATTTTTTTTAGTGAATACAGTTTCAAATGAAAATAGAAAACCATATTATTTATGAAATCAAACGAACATAAACAAATTATTAAATAGAACAATGTCTTTCTATAAACCGTTAATGACTTCGTCAATATCAATATTATCATTTCTGTATCGTATATTCATGAGAGCTAATCCTGTAAGCCGGTCTTCTAGTTTTTTATTTGCCATTATTTTTAAAAAAAAAAAAAAAAAATCGTTGCCCCGTACAGTGGATAATTTATGAATTTACGATATTCACTTTTTGAATGTTGTTTAAAACGCTCGATTGCGTCTTTCCATTTTGTAAACGGGACTTTAATTAGAGCTCTTAATTCTTGGTTCGAACCTTTACCAACAAAATCGTTCGAATGCAATGCGCACCTTCTACATATTTGGAATAACCTAACCACGAATATCGTCTGAACCGATCTGTTTGAAATTTTGAACGCCGATTTTACGAAATAGGAAACTCATAATTATTAGGCGGAATCCATGGATGCTTCAACAGTTTATACTTTCTAACGTCATCAATTGTATTGTTATTAAAACAGAAACCAATGTGTGGATAGTGACTATTGAATACTCCCACTAATGAAGAAATCTAGGGAGAAATTAAACTTTTATTTTCTGTGACATTTACAGTTGCATTGTTATCTAGCGCCGGTGCATTTATTAAATCGGTTTTTTAATTTTTTCACACCAAAGTTAAATAATAATGTCGTTTGATTAGAATGATTTCTTTTCATTTTTACAAAAGTTTTCGCGCACTTATTCCACACGCGTAAACTTGAGAAGGCCGAATACACACTAGGAAAAAACCGAAACCGAACGTGTCGAACATTTACTAAATTTGAGTTAACAAACGAAATATTAGATATTGTATTGTTATTATTATTATTATCGTTATGATGTTATCGCATCGGCCTTTCGTGAAATTTCGTTCATCTGCCATTGTTAGAACTGTAATCAAAATCTAGATAAACCCGGATATAGCCCAAATGATAACGAGATTGATATTATTTTGATGATAATGCGGACTATGCGGTATCGCCATGTCAGTTAAATAATATAATTTTCCAAAAGCAGGAAAACCGCAAAAAATTAAAAATAAAAATAATATCAATTTTTATATACCTACCATATAGTAATAAAATAAAAATAAAACCAACATTTTATGGATCTTCCTTATTGGCAAGAACCCACTTTTGAGACTCTATTAAAAATCTGCTTTCAACATAATTTACATACAATTTCCGGGGGGGGTGTTGTTGTTGAATCTCTAGCCTTGTACACGCGCTGAAAACTACCGTTTAGCAAAGGTTGAAACGGTATTCATTAATTTTTTCGTTACACTGTTATCTTAACCAGTATAAGTTTTCATTGGATAAACTTAAATTTTTACCGTTAACTTTTTAAAAAATATCTTTCGAAATTGTTATATTGGAGGTAACAAATAATAACTAATAGAATGTCGTTAAATCCAATCACAACGGGATCGCTAATCGTGAATCAATCATTATCAATTTTTGTTACCCGTGTTGCCAAGAGTCTAGAAATAAAAAAAATATAACAAATTTAATTTTCGTTTTATTTTAGGACCAAATTAAAATGTTGACCGAATTTTCCCCAAAAGAGACTCTGACAAATTGATTAATCATTATGTTCAAATACCGATTTAACGGCCTTAAATTTTGATATAAAAATTAGAAAATGTACAAAGAAACAAATCGCATAATAATTTATATTATAGAATTAAAATTAAATACATCAATGTAAAATTCGAAAGCCTTTATGCTATTGCACTAATAAAACTTTTTCTTACCGCATAATAATTAGTTATTATTAACTATTGTTATTAAAAGACAAACGATTAATTCATAGATTATTTTATCTCTTCAGTATACTTAATGACTCATAACAATACCACAATAATATGAATACATCAATAATAAACAATAAATTATAATTTAAACGTTCAGTATTGAATTACCATTATGTTCACACTCAATAATATTAGTTAGGTATTTTTTTACACATAAATTTACTGCAGTATAGGATGCTTTTTTTAATTTTATCAGGTTAGTAATTTGTAATTTTTACATTTATGTGTTAGTTTGATAACTGAGAATAAACAAAAATTATTACGCAAATATTTCAAGAAACCCCGTTTCGCTACGGAATGATGTTCGACGTTTCATGCATAGAAGTGCGTCGAAGGGTATAAGTACATTTTTTTTCAAATTTGTGTACTGTGCTGGTATTTGACTATGCTAGTCTATTATCAAATGTTGAGTTCTATTTGGTGAAAAAATATTTCAGTTGGATAGTACCGAAGGTAAAATATCTGTTCGTATATACTTGTTAAAACGTCGTGTACGGTATTAATTGGAAAGTCAAGTGTAGCTGCGATTCGAAATATAATTTAGATGTTGTAGTGTAGTTTTCTCAATGTAATATAATATGGCTAATAGCCTCCCTTTTATGACGGTCCGAAACAAAAAGAAGCCATTCTGTAGTAATTTATTCGAAGCGTGGAGAAAAAGCAAACATGAAATCAGATGGCATTTGAATGAATGAAAGAAATTCCCGTTTCTAAAAATACAGCATAATATTGTAGAATTATATAACGCTAATCCAAAAGTAATAAAGCGTAAGTACGCTGTTCAATGTTCATGCTGTATTTTTCGAAATAGAAGTTTCGTTCTTTCATTCAAAATTCACCGGATTTCGAAACTGTTTTTTTCTCTCGATAATTTAAATAAATAGCCCTACAAAATAGCTATTATCGAATTTTTAAAAAAGTTTTTTTTCAATTACAGCTATTGACTTTCCAATTGATTTACATACTGTAGAAGTTAAGTTCTGTTGAACAATTTTCATAAATGGACTAATACCCTACTCTATCAATGTTATTCGAATCTACATACAGCAATATATTTGAAAAAAATCAATAATACACTATCCAATACTGAATAGATCCTAATAACAAATATTTAATATTGAATTATAATAAAATCGTAAAAGTCAGTTTTTATTTGATAGTTCAATATCTCGATTAATATATAGCATGGCTAAAACATGTAGACTTTCTCGTCCACAAAAAAAAAAAAAAAAAAAAAAACACACAATTCATTTAGGATTGGACAAATCGATTTTCTTGATCACGTATTTTATCTTTTCGATAGCCAACTCCACATCCTCTGTAGAAATATCTTTGTGTAACACGACCCTCACGCACCCATCGTACATCGAGGATATTCGAACGGACGTCGAATTGATTTGTCTGCAGTTTGGAAGATCAATATCGTCCTCGACATCCGTTACCTGTACAACAGGTACGTTTAATAACAATATTATTATGTAAAACAAAACCAAAAAGACGTCCTAGGATAATGGGGACGGGTGGAGCCACTGTTATAATTAATTTAATGTATATCTGTTAGCAACGATTAACCATGGCTAACGAAAAATCGATTCTGAGCGGAGTTCAGTTGATAGTGATACTTTGTTAACAATATATATATATATCATATTATGGTAAAATAATTAAATAGGTATTGTACAATTTTCTTTAATGTACCGATTTTCCCGGTTTCCTCCTTTTTTTTTCGGTTTTTCACATTTGTCGAAAACACTCCTGGGAAAATCAAAAAATGACCTTCTTAAAGTACCTCCCCAGTGAAACTTCCTTTCAGAAAAGGTGTTACACGTAAATATCGCAGCAAGATCTCTGATAGAAAAGCTATCCGCAGGAAAAAAAAACAAAATAAACATATTTGTAAAACCATAAACTTCTTCGCTCCACTCAGAATCTTAAACAAACAGCAGTGATAACATGAAAAGAGTGTGGATGAGGAAATTTAACAAAGAGCTACAAGAAAAAGTGGTTATAAAATCAGTCGCAAGTCACACGCAAGGGCGTGAAATCCAATGATTTGGGCGCGCATGACGCTAAAAAGCGTGAATTATGTAGAGCATTTCTAAAGTGCAAACCAATAGACAAGAGATTATTCGGAGTCGGCCTGCGGAAATATGGATGATCGTGGACGAAAACCTTGATACAATGTGAGTACACAATAGTGGAGAGAAGTTTATAGTCGCAGGATCCACTGGGATTGTGATGGCGACAAAAACGTTTAGATAGTATTAAACGCTAAATTTAGAAGATTATCATATTAATAATGAACAAAATCCCAGGAATATTGCGTTTTAAAACTTGTTCAAGTAGGTCACGTCGAATCGTATACGATTGCGATGGTTATTTATTATTTCTTTTGAATTCGTGATAAATAAAACGAAACGTGTTTCCCGCACTCAGTTTGAAACTGAAGTAAATATTATATACGTAACAATAAAATTATTGTTGTTTCGAAAAATAACCGTTTATGAACAATTTAATATCATCGCCGTACGTGTGTTTGCCTACTGTTAGTTTCAGACGGCGCTCGATTTGTAGTCAGCGTGCTGCGTTTAATAATTTATTATTTTGGTCGCAGTCGCGAATAAAATTACGTGTTTTACGGGGAAAAGGTTTTGAAAAAAAAATCAAAATTTTAGAAACTCAATTCAGCTTTAAAGACGGTACCGAGAAATATAAGAAAATAGGCACATGACGACGGGTTGTGACATTGCCTGGGTAACATTTGCCGTCTTTAACTACCTAACGGACATTATAGCAAAATTGTTGTCGAGCTTTCAATAGTACTCAAGAATGAATAAACTTAAAACAAAAAATTATTTCACCAAATCAAAAACGACCAAATTTAACACGTTTTCAAAGTGAGTTTGTTGATACCTATTTATCTGAATAATCTATTCATACTTCAAAGAGTTCAAACCACAAATAAAACATTTTTAGAACAATTTTAGAAAATTAAATAATTCAAACATATATCAAAAATTCTGTACTTGAAAACGTAGTAAATTATGTTATTTTTAGGTCTATTCGAAAGTACGAAAACATATATTAAACAAAATGAAGAACAGATTAAAAAAAAAAAAAACGGAAAATCACCTTCAACATCATATCGAAAAAATTGGTCGGGGTGATACGCGAACAGTTCAGTTTCAAAATCAGAATGTTCGTATCGGTCTTGCTGGGATCGACGGTCACGTGGGGACTGGCCATATGATAGATTGCTGCAAAAAAAAAACTCAATAACAATTATTATTTTCGAATCTAGGCCGAATAATATTATCCGTTGGTTTGCAGGCAAGTAAACCTTGAGCGATTTTTTTGGCGTTTCTGTGATCGTCGGCCAGTCTTTGCACGCAGTTGTCCAAAGCGTACACACCGGCAGCTGCCACGATTCCGACTTGTCGCATGGACCCACCCAAAGCTTTTCGGATCCTTCTGGCTCTGATGTTTGAGTGTTAAAAAAAAATAACAATAATAATTATGTATTGGGACAATCCACGAATATAGGTACTCAAACCGGGTAACAATTTAACAATATAGTAATAATATAAATCACAAGAGGACTTCTCACCGACGATTTTCTCAGTCATAAAATCATGTTTACACCAAACGAACAAAATAACTGTTTTCTAAATGAATTTTGAAATAAAATTACTTTTTGAAAAATACAGAGGGCGGATACTCGTAATAATAATATGTATTTTTCAAAATAGCATTCAGAAAAACAGATTTAGAAAAGTTTTTGAACGAAATTGATGAGTTAATCATGTTAAATTTGTTATCAATATCTCGCTACAATTGTCTATATATAATCCCTTAAATCCTTGCAGTATGAACCGTTATTATTTTATAGCCAACGTTTTTAAATTATTTTTATGTACTTACTTATTGATGAATGATTTTTCACCGACCAGAATTGCGCCGATGGGTGCCCCGAGCCCTTTGCTCAGACAAAACGTCACGGAATCACAGTGTTCGGCAATCCGACTGACGGGCACACCGAGATGAACAGCAGCGTTGAATATTCTCGCCCCGTCCATGTGCAATGGTATATTTTTCTTTTTGATAAACTTGCCCAGCTACGATTGAACAAAATTATTGATATTAACAAGGGGAATATCATTTTAGAAAAAGAACTTCTGGAAAAAAGTTAATGCAATCTTATTATGGTGAAATGTGTCCAGTTAAAGCTGCTTATATTAGGCACTTTTAGCTTTGCCAACCGTAGGCACATGGTCAATGCACATTTCCTTTCCGAATTCTAATATCCAATAAAAATCATTATCCTGCTCTATCCGCTAATAATAATTTTAGAGTTCCTTCACACCCGCTCCTTTGTTCATTTCCGAATTCTTCATCTTCCTTCCAACTTTCATAGAGAAGCTCCTTTGTTTCGCCTTTCTCGTTCTACTAACTTTGACTGTTCACTTTAGTGTTATATAAGCCAAAATTCTAAGCGAATTCCATGTTTGTTTTACTAAATTATTATATCTATTTTTCTTCTCTTTGATCTAGTAGGTGCTGTAATTTGGACTAGGTCCGTAAACTTAAAATACGAATTAGTTTTGTTGGTTATACCTGATCGAGCCATTCGAGCGGGACAACCACACCCCCGAGATAGTTGTGCGTGTTTTCTATGCACACCAGTGACGTGTACGATTCGAAATCGAGCGGATTTGACGGTCGCAATTTTTCACGTAGTTCCACCATGTCTAGTGTACCATCCGGCAAGTTTCTGACTTCTCGCAGTTGCACTCCGGCAATCTGTTCGAAATATTATTTTTGTTTTAAACGCAAGTTTATCTGCACATATTTGTGTAGGTATTATAAAAAAATAATGTGTAACCTGCGAAGCTCCACTTTGTTCCCATAGTAAAATGTGACTTCTGTTTCCGACTATAACTTCGCACCCTCGCTTATCTTTTGTGTGAGCCATTACTGCAATAATGTGTGTGTTTTTTAATATATATACCAAAATAGAATCGAACGATTCCCGGAAACGAAGCCTGGCGGGAATTGCCGGAAATACGCGGGAATCGCCAGGAATATTTAAGAATTTCCAAACAATAATTTATGAAAAATGGTCATTCATATCATAAAAAAATAAATATATTATTTTAAAACTTAAATTTGTTTGTTCATTGAACGGGGGGTTTTTTTTAAGAGTTTAATTTAAAACGATAGACTATCGTACCTAGTTGTATCAGACGAAATAACTTGGTATCCAAATATGCAATTATCTATAAGATATTATTACGGTCGATGGATTAGATAGATTTATACATTCCCTACTTTTACATTCCAGATTTTTACAGGCACCCGTTATTACCTATAACTATTTAAATAACAAAATTGAATTATAAATTATTGGACCTATCACCATAAGTGTCGTATATATTATTGTACCTAGTATTAGAAAAATGTATTCAAGTTCCAATAAACAATTTTGTTGTCTTGAAAAAAAAAAAATTCAAAATTAGAGGGTTGTGATTTGTTGAAATGTTGCAAACCACTATCTCAGAAGATCGCGGATTGAACAATTAGATAAAAATACAACGTAACTTATATTTCACCGTCTTTTTTAATACTTAACTTATGTAAGTATGTAACGATACATAATATATATGTATTACAAAGAATAATAACTGAAAATAATGATAATCAATTATCGGTGTTAATCTGTTTTATTTTTACTTACACTTTAAAATCATACTTATTTTTATGAATATTATTATTATTGTATTGTGTATCTTGTATTTCAAATTACCTATAGTATTGTGTATATTATTAATATACATACTACTTTACTCACTTTTTTTTTATGTATTATGTATATGGACCACTGTATATGGAGCATTTACTATTCTAAAATAAAATGTAAAAAAGTAAAAATTTTAAATAGTTTTAGAGTCTCGGGAAATCCGTTCCCGAAACCAAAACAATCAATTATTATTGTTTACCTACACAATACTATAGATAATTTGAACTATTTCCAGTATATAGGTTAACATTTTATTATATTTCATTTTTGAAAAAAATAAAAATAAAAATATTTTTCAAAAGGAATTATAATAATAATTATTAAAATTAACCTGTACACATAGTTGTCACTTTTTATTTTGGTTAAAAGGTAAAAAAAAGTAAAAATCTAAAATTACTTGCAACTAAATTTCCCATGATACCACTCGGTAAGAATAGAGCCGCTTCTTTGCCGAAAAGTATTGATGTTTTTTCTTCTAAAACTAAATAAAATATATTAATTACCTAGTTGAAAATGAACATTATTAATACAAAATATGCCGTGATCACTGCTATACCTACAAGGTAGGTCACTATATTGTAAGTGGGAAGGTAAGAGATAGAATGTATTAGATAAAAATAGTGTACAGATATAGTGTATGAAACGGTAAATTAATGCAAACGAAAAACGATTCTGTGTGGCGTTCGATTAACTGGTAAGATAAAATATTATAACTATATTTTCATGGTTTTCCCCATACCTAAGGTAACTCAGAATAAATAACAAAAAATATGAGGTATCCAACTATTGGGAAATAAAAAATACCATTAGGCCGAAAATCGGCATCTTTTAAGGTACGATGCGAATGATTTGGAAAATTTTTACTACCCATAAAAAGTATAAGAGGGAGACTAGTTGTAAATATCGAATAAAAAAGGTTCAAATAAAATACCGTCGATCAAAATATTCGCATCTTTTGAGATATTTTATAAAAAAATCGTAACAGTTTTCTGTCCGAAAAGTTTTTCCATGGAAAAAATATGTCAAATAAAATAATACCAGACTGAAAATTCTCGTTTTTGATTGTAGGCTAGTCACCTACTGTATGGAAACACCGGAGTATTTTTACTAACTATACCGGAGAAAAAGTCTTTTCCAATAAAATTAAAACATATCTCAGTAAAACTAGTAGTTTTTTTTATGCACTCAGAATCATACAAATAGAAAATCAATGAAATGCAAGAGTATAACACGTACGTTAAAGAAATATCACTCTATACTTACGATTCACAGTAGGATCTTCGCGGTAACCGTCGTCCCCGACTTCTGCCTCGTACATGGCTAACCGCATATTAATGTCCGGTTTCGTTACTGTATCACTCATTAAGTTAATAACTTTTATCTGTTAGAAATCATTGTCGAGTTAGTTCGAAAAAATCTTTATTTTTATGTATGAAATTAAAAATGTATAAACAAATTCAAATAAGTAAATTAGTTTTTGCAATTTTAACGTCCATACGTTGGATGTTTCTGGACGATCGTGCATAATATTTATGTCACAAATATACTTTATTACGAAGTATTCTTAAAAATTCAATACAAGAAATGTTTTTGTATTGTAAAATGCAACAAATTTAAGTTTATATTTTTGTTATTTTTATAAATCGAAAAATTATTACATTAATATAAAATGTATATAAAAAAATTACACAAACAAATTGTATAGTATAAATTCACGTAAAAAAAAACTTCCGTTGAAGTATAATTATCATTTTTTTTTTTTCCCCGTCACCGAATTAATTGAAAATTTTAACTTTTAAGATACCTATTTAATCAGACATCTAAGAAAATCTAAGGAAATATGATTTTATAAACACACATAAACAGATAAACGATACACGATACATGGATTAACGGAAAGTCGTACTCGAACTATTATTAATTATTTTACAATATTATTTCGGATCTACTCACCGGGTTAGATGATTCTTGCTTCCGGCTCATGTTTATTGGTTTTTCTTTTTTGTGTCGGGCTGTTGCTTATAATCGCTAAAAAAATTCACAAGATTTCGTGTTAGAGCTTAAAATCTATACACAAGTTTAAAGAATTCATTAAAATACAAAAAAAGACTGGTATACTTCGCACAATAGGTGGACAACTGTTGTAGGTAATAAGTTGGGAAGATAAGATATAGAGGGAGTTATATCATAAAAACCTATAATGTAGATTTGTACGCAACGATTAATCATTGCTAAAGAAAAATCCAATTTTTTTTTTTACCACAAAGTACGAATTATAATAAACTTGTTACTAATTTTCAAGTTTTTCTGAAAGAAAATCCTAATGATTGCTCATTTTGTGTTATATAAAATTATGTGTTAGTATATATGTCTGTTTCATAGAGTTATGACTTACAATATAATCCTCTAATATCGTCTTGTTTTATAACGACGGTCGACGACACTGTATTATAATGTATACACTTTTAAGTAAATTGGATTATATTCGTTTTTACACTTTCAAAGCCGATAATTACATTAAGTGTACGGATTTTTTTTTTTTTTTTCATATAAAAATCGAGAATATAATTTTAAGTTGACATATACGTATCGCTGTAACGAATTTAAAACTGCAATCAACGCGTTCGATACATTATATTATGTTTACTCTACGATATTTTAATATCTACTGTATTATTTCAAACACACGACTAAGCTCATGAAATACATCTAATAGTGGGTATAAGGCACCGACGGTTTAAAATTTGGCACCACCCGCCGACGAGATAATTTATTGGCGACGAACAGCCGACACGGACGTATCGGTGAATGAGATAGTATCGGAGATATTTTTTACGCAAAATGAATACTTAAAACCTGTGCTTGCACGCGGTAAAAACGTGATGGAGAGTCGCATCGGCATATTTAATTGACTACTTGTAGATTATATGTAGATACAGAGTGTTTGGTGAAGATACGATCATTGCGATATCTTAGAAAGTATAAACATCTTTTTGGAATTTCTTTTTTTGACATTTTAAAAACAAAAAATTGTTACATTACTATTATTATTTTTCACCCTTATTTTTTCGGAGTGAATCGACTACCTACTTTCGATTTTCAAATGGCAATATATATATAAAAAATCATGCGTAGGGGGAGTGCAGCTGTACGCTCTGTCGCCACACAAATGATGCGCCGCTACTTTCGTCCTACGCATACTTAAAATTGGAACGTCTCGTCTGATATCAAAAATGTCAACACCAAAATGTATTTAAACTAATGCTCCGTTTATTTATGAAATTTTTATCATAGGTTGCCACTCTAAAATTAAAAGTAGACAGTCAATTCACCCCCAAAAATAAGGGTGACAACGAATAATAGTAATGTAATATTTTAGAGCTACTTGTTTCTTAAATTGATTCCAGGGTGAGAGACGGGAAATATTTAATATTTTGCCATGTATTTTTATATTTTTTTAAATTATTAGTAAGTACAGAAAGACCAGAGGGAAATGTCTGAGGAGTCTCCTCTGACATCCTGTTTGAAAAAAAACAAGTTACAAAGGTTACAATATGATTGAGAACGTTTTACCTTTTTTGGTGTATGGTTGAAAACGCTTGAAATGAAACAATAAAATCTAAGCCCCGACCCAAAAAAACAGTACTGTCGAGAACGATATTATGTGCAGCGTTGCCTTAATATTAGTGACGTGTATGTATTTCATATTCAAATATAAAAAGAACGGACATACTTCACACGTGGGTGCAGCCAATGTTGTGGATGGGAAGTTGGAAAGGTAGGATACAAACGGGAATTTAATGTATATCTCTAAGCAATGATAAACCATCGCTAACGAAAAAACGATTCTGAGGGGAGCTCAGTAGATAGTGTTGCTTTGTCAACAATATATATATATATATGTAATATTATAGTAAAATGATTACAACAATATGTGTTTCCATGACAATAATGATTATTTAAAAAACATTTAAATAATAAAAACTTAACAATAACAAATAATAAATAAAAACGGACAATAGTTGCCAATAACAACCTTATTTTTAATCTTTCGATTTATTTTAAACTAAAGAACCAGGTTATCCTCATTGTCTCGAATATTAATGAGAATTTCAAAAAAAAAGACCTCTCTAAAGTTCATCCCAGTAAACATTTCCTTTCAGAAAAAGTACTATAATACTTGATAATCGGAATAAGCTTTCTGATCGAAAAAGCGTTCACAAAAAAAATTAAAAAATTAATAAACATTATTGTAAAACCAATACATTCCTCGCTCCGTTTAAAATCCAAAATTAAGCACAATTAAGGAAGCAAAGAAGTTTCATCCCATAAATCGGAAAATAGTCCGTGAAATATCATTATTTTTAAGAATTTCATTAAAATTTGAAATTTAGAAGTTACTAAAAAAAAAAAAAATCAAAAACAAATTTTCGATATTTTTTAGAGCCATAAGAATAATTTCTAATGAACCTTGAATAAAATTTTCGAGCATTTTTTAGAGGTCGACAAAATTTGACCTATAGAGAATCTAAAAAAAAATTTAAATAGCTATAAACAACCCAAAAAATGTATGATGTACAATGTATAGAAAAGAGAAATGTATTTAGTGAACAATTTCAGGTACCTACAATTATTTAGAACTTATTTACAACTAAATCGAAAATAACAAAAATCGCTATTGCATAATACCAATACGTATTTACCCGTTTTTCCGACATTTTTTCTTCATTATTAGGAAAAATAATTTAAAAATTACCCCCTCAATGCTACTGCTAGACATAATAGAAAACATTTTTTTTAAATTTGTTATTAGTATCAGTTCTTAAAGGCATTTTTATCTATAAGATAATATCCCAGACCGAAAACTTGTATTGGAGCTGGCGAATGTGTTATAAGATTGATATTGTGAACAATAATTGTAGTTTATTTAATACGCAACTTAAAAGACAGATTTCTTAACAGTTATTATAGTGTAACATTATGATACTACAGTTTTAGCGTAGAAAACAACGGATGTTATTGATAACAAAAAAAAAAAAAAAATCGGACATTGTTTGCGAATACGTATTTTCATTGAATTTGGAGGGGGCCCCCAAGTGTGTATGTGTGTCTACGTCTATAATATTTTTATTGCATTTGAAAACAACAATAATTCAATTGTATTAAAAATCCTATGCATACTGGAGGGGAATTAAAATTTATATATTTATATGGTTTGTAATGAACATTTGGAACAAACATCGGTACTATATCGTAAAAAAAAAAAAAAAAAACATTAAAATAAATAGTGTACACATTTTCGAAATTATAACGTACCTGTATACACACAAAATGTACTAAATTAGAGGTTATTACTTTCTGTATAATATAATATAATATTATTTATCATTACCTGAGAGTTAAAAGGTTCCGCCTATGATTTTTCGAAAAACCACTTCTTTACAGATTGTTGTATAGAATAAAATTATCTTTTTTTAAGCTTACTACGAAGTTTCTATGCAAAAAGTTTGCAATCAAAATACTCAAAATAAAATGGTCCAAATAGAGAAAATAATTTTTTTTTGTTCATATAAACGAAAAATAACCTTTTTAAAGGGAATTTTTATTTGAAAAAGAAAAGGTTCTATAAGAAAAGTATTTAATAATATTTACCCATATTGAAAATAGAAAAAGTTTTACGTATGTCAACAGTAAATTTGTATAATAAAATGACAGTTACAATAATACGAAAAAAAACATCACTATAAAAAAGTATCCTCTCAAAATAGTATAGGTTCTTTCCTCTTCAGTGCTTACTTTGAAAAGGTCTTTCGGGAGAACATTTTTAAAATACAAATTTATTTTCTTTGATACTTTTATTTCATTTACCAGTACGAAATTAATGGTTTGATCTGTGTTCATCAAAATCTATTTAAATCAAAAAGCACAACTTTATCTGTCACCTTATTAGATTGTAAATTAAATAATAGCATTCGGTGTCAGAATGTAAATTTTTAAATTTGAAAATGGTTCTCTTGAACAATTTCAAAACAGCGATTCAGAACATTTTCATTGTCAGGTACTTTAGGTTTTCAAATGGAAAACTGTATTAGAAATCCCACGAATAGATGGAGTATTTAGTTTAAACAACTGTTGGTGTTAATATTTTTGATTTTCGTCAATCCGTTGACGAACTATTCCACCTTTAAGTTCGGATCGAGAGAGAGTAGCGGCACATTATTGAAATGCCGCCACACGAATGACGCTCCACCACTCTCCCCCGTCCGTAGCGGTTTTACCCCGAAAATAAGGGTGACGAAAAAATTAACATAAATGTAAAATTGCACAGCTGCTTGTTCAATACTTGTTAATACTTTCCGAGATAATGAGTGTTTATTACGATAGATTGATCGCCCTGTATAGCACGTACCTGTCGGAAGTTACGACACTGTTAACGAAAATTTTACCCCAAGACCCTATTAGATTAATATTATTCGATACTCGTACTCGTATACGGTTGAAATTATTTTAGGTACAAAATGCGTTTACGGGTGAAACGAAAACGTTGAAAATTACCTGTTTTCGGAGGCGAACAACAGGTGGTCGGTGGATACGATTTTTTATCGTGCGCTGCAGCTGCAGGCGATGGTGTGCAGGTAGTGGTACCTACCTAAATACAATAGCACAAAAGCCTAATATTGGGATCGGAATCTTCCAGCGAACATTTCATTCGAATACGCACCCCACCGATAGATACGATAATTCGGTACACCTTCGCCATCTGTCCACCGCCACCACCACAACGTTATTACGCCGTACGTTCTCGTCGTCGCGGAATGGATTTTTTTTTTTTTTTTTTTCTAAACGTATGATACAATATTATATACGCGAACGGGACAAACGAGGGCGAGAACTATTGTTTTGTGAACGCGTGACTGGGTCGAAAACTGTATAACTGTATAACGCGCGATTGTCGAGACAGTCGGATATGCAATCGGATAACGCGAGCGAGAAAACCCACCTCCGCAGTTGTTGCGACCCTCGAGGGCCGTTTTGGGGTAGGTTTGAAATTCCGCGTAATACGAATGGCCAAAACACATTATTACGGTTCGACTATCCGAGAGGGGGTTGCCGGACGCTTGCAATATTGACGGCGTTCGTCAAAACAATACATACAGGTGATAATACTTACGTCTCGCAGCGGATTCGACGACGCCTTTTGGACCGCGCGAGGAGCGGCGAAAAACGTTCTCACGAACCCGGCGGCGGTGCGACACTTGTACGATACGGGTAGTCGCGCGAATATAATACCGTGCGGATTGGGAACTCAGTGCTGCCAAACGTTGTCGGGCGATACGGCGTACCGTCAAGTGCAACACCAACAACCCGTGCGAAAAGACCGTGCAATCGATACGCGCCGAAAGTCTACGAATCGCGCGCGAGTCAAAAACTGCTCCGTTCGGTCCGCAAACCGTTTGGTGTTCGCGTTCAGTTGGTCGCACTGACGGCGGACGGGTAACGACGGTGTCGTCCGCGGCGTCCGAAAAACGGTTTTGCAATTAGGGATCATTCAGGGTTCAGAACCGGTTTTGTTTGCGTATCGCTTCAATAACCGGAACATTAATGTGATCGGCGCGCCCGCATTATCAAATCGGATCGCACTTGCCGTGCGTAGTCTCGAGTGACCCAAACACACGCATTGTCTTCTCAACGTCGCCGTGACCGAAGAGATAATTTAATTCTCTCGTACGAAAAAATAAAAAAACGGCCAACAACGTGTTGATGTTTTCATAATACAATAATAAACTATAAGTATACATCAAGCGCATTTGAATATTTGTGACGCATAATATTTGTCGTGTCGATGGACTTTTGCCAAATTGTACGCACGTCGTGTGTACGGTGTGTATACGAGTTTTGGGCGATTAATTCTGTTTTTTCATAAACCGAAACGCATCGCATAGCTGTTTATTCGAATAGTTGAAATTAATTTACCGATTACTAATCCAGCTATATGTTTTTTTTTTTTTTTTTTAATGGATATTTTGGAAATGTAGAATTTTATTTCAAACGATTTCGTTTTACAGCTGATAACCCGAAACTCGTCTCGCTACAGCACAGATTTAAATTTTTCAAGTAATGAAAATATCTTATTATTCGTGTAGGTAATCGATGACGGCAGGAAAATGTTATTTTTCGATAATTGTTCTCTATTACAGCTCCTTCGCTGCTTCAGCTACACAAGACATATCCGTTAGCGTATTACGCCGGGTAAATTGTAAACAATATTAAAAAAAATAATACCGACATACTTCGCGCGTGGGCGGGCCACTGTTGTAGGCGAGAAGTTGGGAAGGTAGAGGAGAAATTGAATGTACGCAACCACTGCTACCGAAAAAAGGTTCCGTTAACAGTGTTGTTTTGTCAACAATATATATATATATATATATATGGCATGTTATAGTAAAATAATTGCATATGCATCGTATATTTTCTTTAATAATATTTGTTTGAAATTGTGTATATTTTCATGTTTTCCCCACATTTTTTCCAGTTTTTCCCCGTTTATTATAAAAAAAACATCTAGAAAAATCGAAAATTGACCTTCTTAGAGTACCACCTCCGTCAGAGAAAGTACTATGATTATAAATTGGAGCGAAATTGCTAGTAGAAAAGTTGTTCATAGATAAAAAGAAAATAAATATCAGAATCTAAAATGATAAAGCGCATTAAACCTCGGGTATAAACGCGACGTTTTCCTTCACTTGTATAGCCCGTCCTAGAGAGCCGATCATTGAGTGACCAGACCTTTTATCAATGGATATAGACGGCTCCAAATTGTGTAATTTTTACAGTGCATTTTTCTAAGGTTTTTAGAGCGTATAAATCCGGGCCCTATTTACCATTTAAACTCTAACCTTATTGTGCCAAGTCCAAATTCTGAAAGTCCGCATAGGTAATGGTATATATAGATAACCTTTTTTTCTTTTCTTAGCACCCTAAACTTTTCTATTGCAATTTGAATAGTGCAACATTGGCGCTCTCAAGATTGAGGTAATTTTATGGTTGGATCCCGGGTATGATCGTGCGGGCCGTCACGTTCTATTATTCCCGGATCGGTTAGACCGTGCCTATCCACCGCTGCTGGGCACGCACCAAGAAATGCATCGAGCGTGTTATACTCAGTCTGCGTATGCATATTTTTGCCAAACTGTACCGTTAGTCGGGCTGAGACTGTAAACGCGGGCCCTATAACTAATAAAGGTAGGCAATTGTAGACTTGCAGTTATTCTGTAAAACGTATTAAAACAGCGCGTTACATATATATATTATACAAATGTGTACTACAGTACCTATAACGAAAAGTTTTAGAACAACACTAAAATATTAATTGATAAGATTGTTTGGACGAAATGATATCTATCAAATATTTTATAATAGTAATCGATTAGAAATCACGGCGCCGCTGGCCATTACTTACTTTAGGCTTTCTGGGCGCTTACTGACTTTAGGTCCGTCCGGATTCAAAACAAATATAGAACTAGGAGTTTTTATTACGCCGGCGTTTGTCCGCTTAATAAACGCAAGTTCGCCGGCGTTCTTCGCCGCGAATGAAAACGTGGCGTATCACATCCATCGTGTATAGATAAATCCGAAAATAACTCCTGGTCGGGCCGCAAAATGCCACAGCATTATCCTATGCCCCAACTGTGGTATGACTTTGCTGTAATTAATACACCAGCAATTTAAGACGATATTTAAAAATAAATTTATAGTTCTCCGATATAATATTTAAGGCCACGGCTGGACCCGATTTTCAGTGAAATGAGAAATGGGTTAATTTATTTAATCTTATATTTTTGTTACTACAGGCGTTTAAGTCCTTATGCAACAGTTATATTATACTAGTTTAAACTTTTGAAAAATTCCGGAGGGAAGATTCTCTTCAGATACGATCTTACATATATTACTGTACAGCTTACCGTGTAAGAAATTATAAATAATTTGTTCACAATATAATGTTCCTCCTCGCGACTCTCCGAGAGTCCTGGTCGCCAAGTAAGGCGTCTCACTACTCCTTCCATGCCGATTTGAGACAAAAATGATTGAGGTCAATGGCTGTTTTTCAGAGTGGTTTCCAAGATTTTAGTCTGTGGAAATACGAGAGCTGTTGCAAATGAGCGAGCAGTCTAAGTTACATTTTTTCCACTTAGTGAGCAGGGATTTTTTCACGACAAAGGGAAGCGGAAACAATGTGACTAAGAACGGGGAACCACGGTGTTTGGGTGGACTTGATGGTGTTTGTAATGATTTGCATGGATTTGTTTAGCTGAGAGTCTATCTTGTTAGTGTGGTTGCTATTGATCCATACAGGTGCACAGTACTCCGTTATCGAATACGCTAACGCAATTGAAGATGTTTTTAGTATAAAAACACCGGCACCCCAATCTGTGCCAGCTAGTTTTTGGATTACGTTATTTTTTGCGTAAATCTTAGCCACAACACAAGTTATGTGGTTTTTTAAAGTTAAGGGACATATCAAGGGTAATTCCTAGGTGTTTTGGACATGGGTTATGTGTGATTTTACGACCGCTGAAAGTTATATTTAGTTTGGCATTAGCTTCCTTATTCTTCAGATGAAATGTAAAAGATTCTGTTTTGTTAGGTATAGTATTGTATTATTTTTAATTTTGTAAGATTTACTCATAAGTAAAGGCAATTTTTTTATGCATTTGCAAAATTTGTATTGGTTGGTAAAAAAAATAGCTACTTAATACCAACATTTTATTCACGGCGCCTAAAGAGTTTATGTACAACATTTTATTTTGCATATTTTCGTGTTTTAAGATTTATAGGGTATATTTCAGGATTTTTGTGTTTTGAAAACATATTTCAAAGATTTCGTATATTTAAAAATTCGTGAATTTTTAAGCCATTTTCAACTCGACGAATCGAGGTTCACAAAATAATTGTTCAACATTTATAAGTATCAGTATTTAGCTCGTAAGCTGATATAGACACAATAGTTTTAAATAAAATATTATTAATCAATTTATTTTACTGAAATAAATTTTTAAGGATTATTCAATTTATGAGTACATAGGTAAGGTTAGATTAAGGAACAAAAATATCAGATAATGGCTCGTAAGTATATTTCATTGTATGACTTCGATTTTATTCAAATGTATCGTTTTTCTTTTCCTAAGAACATATTTTGATAATTTATTATGGTGTAAATGCATACATATGCAGTAGGTTTTAGGTCATATTTCTGTCAGCCCTATGTAATTTGTGTCTATGACAATTATTAGAACTCTATGGTAGATACCTATCTTATAGAACTCGCTTCCCAAAAGTTTCTGAAACCCAAATTAAAAAGTACACTGGTCAATTTTTTTTAATAACTTTATAATATAGTGTTTACAATAGTTTTTATATAAAAAATCCGACATAATTAGCACCACGTGTGGATCACTGTTGTAGGTGAGGAATTTATAAGGTTGGACAAATAAGATAGTTAAATTTATATCTGTATTCAACGATATCTATGTATGGGAATAAGGATTAAATTAAAATATTATCCAAATTTTTTTAACTACAGACTTTTTGGTTACAACAGGTATTATATTGTTGTTATATTATACTATGTATTTAACATTCTGAAAAATATTAGTAAGTATTTGGTAAAAATGTCAGTTCTCTACAATTATTTTTCACTGAATTACGAAAAAAAAAAGGATGGATTCATTTTTCATATAGTTATGAATATTTCTATAACTAGAGATTGGATTTAAATACAAATACCTTTTTTTTTTTGGATAATAGTAGAAAAATAATTGCTATATAAAAAATGTGTTTCATTTAATCTCTTAGATGATGAACAAACATTATTTTTGTTTTTTTTTTCTTGAGGTACATGGATTGGATTGTACAAATTTCAAAGAGCTAAAATCTACAATTAAAGAAGATTCTGAATACGTAAGAATAGTGGTTAAGACTTTTTGAAATTTGATTGATATGAAGTAAACTGGTGTATATTGTATTTAATTTTGGATTCTTGTAAATTTCACAAAAAATAACACAATAACAAAACTAGAAATATGAGGTAACAAATAATACCTATGTGTGATTTTAAAATATTAAAAATAATGTAAATAATAAACAGATTAAACTAAAAGAATGTAATGACAAAGTAGATAAAATAATTTTGAATAAATTTAACAAAATAACATCAATAAAAGATATGGACATATTTTCCACGATGGGTTGTAGGTAAGAAGTTGGTAAGGTAGAGGGGAAATTTAATGAGAATCTGTATGCAATGATTAACCATTGCTAAAGTAAAGCAATTCTGAGTGGAGTTCGGTTAAAATGTCATATTGCGGAAAAATAATTACATATGCATTATATATTTTCTTTAATATTTGTTTAATATTGTTGTACCTAATTTCTCGTTTTTTTCTTACTCATTGAGAAAAATTCTGGTAAAATTAAAAATAATATCCTTCAAATAGGAACCACCCCAGTCAAGTTCCTTTTAGAAAAGTACTATAATTGAAAATCGGAGCAGTCGCTAGAAAAGTTGTGCACAGATAAAGACAAAAATAAACATCAATGTAAAACCAATACAGAAATAAAATGTTGGAAAACATCAAACAAATGAACGAAGTATTAATTGGAGAAACAATAAATGATAATGATTTAAAAAATAAAAATTTTAATTTAGATAACTATTTATGTCTAAAATATGTAGTATTTAAAATATTTCAGTAGACGTAAAAAGATCATAGTACAAACATATTTCAAGTCCGAACTGTCAACATTTTTCAAAACACAGTTTGCCTAATACATGGTACTTAGTAAGTTTTATTAAATTGACAGAAATCTAAAAAATGCTGCGTTTTTTTTTTATATAAATGAAATTCATTTTTTAAAGACAAGTAAAAATTGTATATAATAACTGAGTCATTATAATCAAAATATCAAAACTAAACTCGATAAGATACATTAATATGAGCATGATACATAATATATGTTATATTTTTATCATTAAATCATGACTTGAAGACAGTAAAATGTAAAATAAAAGTATATATTATGTATTTAAAGAAAATTGAATAGCTTAGTTTACATTTGTTATAACACTTTTAGATTCTGAGCGAAGTGAGGAATGTATTGGTTTTACAGTAAAGTTTTTTTTTTTATACACTGTGTATAAAATAACTACCTGAAATCTTGCTCCAGTGTATCAAGTATAGTACCTTTTCTAGAAAGAAATTTTACCTAGCTGATATTTTTTGATTTTCCAAGTAGTTTTCATAATTGAGAAAATGTATGAAAATAATGTTTTTATTATTTTCAATTTTACTTTTGTTGTTATTCAGTTAAAATGTTCAAAACATTTGAGCCTTTTTTGGGGGGTTTTTTTTATGTATGTCAGTCTTTTTTTTTTGTATAATATAAATTCTTCATTAAATATAATACAATCATTATAGATAAAATATCTTTCAAAGATGAACAAAATCAAACATCATAATAACCGATACAAATAAGTACGTAGTACAATACAATACAATTTGACGGCACCTTCAATTAAACCCTGTCTATCACTATAACCAGTATCATAATAAACAGTTTTTAACACACATATATACATATATAAGTGTATACAAGTATAATATTAGATTTGTAGTCATTGTTTTTGCACAAAAATGGGTAAACTAAGTTACCGTTTTTTATCATTCTATTTTGGCACTTTGAAGTGTGCAACAAAATAAAAACTCGAAAAATAATATGATAATATCCTATTGTGAACAAACATATTTTTTATTTCAATCTAGTTAATAAATAATTTCTATAATAAATAAAAAAACATTAATAAAATAGAATTTTAACCAATAACTGAATATGATAATTTTAACATAAATGTTTCAATAACATACATTTTAATCAACTTTTACTTCATCCATATTTTTAATATCAATATTAACCTTCATATGTTTTTGGAAATTTTAAGATTGAGAAAATGTTTTTTCATTCAACATCACGACTGACCTCCCTCTTGCGAACCAACATAATATGTTTACCCAATATTGATTTTGTACTTAGTAATTATTAACACACATCACGTTTGAAGACTTATTGTATGAATTTCCTTATTACTTATGACTTGTGTGATTTCTTATGAGTACTGTCAAATGTGGATTTTGTCCAAATGATATTTAACAAATATTGCAATTATAAGGTTTTTGATCAATACGAGTTCTCATGTGTGCTGTCAAATTTTGTTTAAATCTAACTAACGTCTTACAAATATCACACTTATATGGTTTTCATTTTTATGTGACCTCACGTGTACTGTCAATTTGTTTTACTACAAATGAAATTTTACAATGATCACATTCAACAGCATAACTTTTTCCATACATTTTGGTTTTTCTTTAAACTTAATTCCACTGGATCATTTAATATTATAATTTCAATTGCATACACAAAACTATCAGTTACATCAATTTCTTTTTTTTTTTTTGTTATTTCTTCTGATGTGCATCTGAAAAATATTAAAATAATAATAATAACAATTAATACAATATATGCGATTTAGTTAAAAATACTCAGTGTTCCCATAGGAAATACTACAAAGTTATACACCTTACGTTCTCAATTTTGTTGAAAATTTACTGGTAAACTATGTATACCTTCTAATAGTTTATAATATAAATTATTATCATTGGCCATTCGACACTCAAACATATGATAATCGTATACTTATAAATGTTATTGGCGAATTATATAATGATTAATGGTAACTAATTAGATCATATTAAAATATGGATAGAGCCATGTGCTGGTAATTTTAAGAATATAATTCTGTATCAGAGAGGCATAAAAATCCAGGTTATCACAGTTTATGTGAAGTTTTGATTCTTTATTAATCAAAATTGTGTGCTGTATATTTTTCGTCATAATGATAAAAATTCTATAAGTAATATTTTAAGAGTTATAAGCAAAATATCAAATGATCTAAGTCTATAATTATTATACCATTTCATACGAAATAATTTAAGCAAACTGATTAAGCTTTTATTTATCGCCACATTATTTTTCGATTAAACTTTCAAGTGATAACTACAAAAAAATGTCTATATTATTTTATACCTGTAAATTGTAATAATATTATTGTTAGATTACAAAAAGAGCTGATACTGGTAGGGGTATAACACTGTTGCAGGTGGGAAGTTGGAATGGCAGGATACAATATGAAGGTATTCAATTTATATCTGTGAGCAATAATAAAAAGCGATTCTGAGCAAAGTTACACGTGTTTTGAAATGCAGTTATTTTAAGATTTTTATCAAAATTTAAACTCTAAACTCTTATTCTAACGATAATAAAAACATTAGTTCCTTTTTTCTACATTTTATCTAGATTCTGCTCAATTATTAAAAAAAACTACATGGAAAATTAAAAAATAACTTACTCATTAACAAGATTAAAAATTTAACAAAAAAGGTCTCGTTATTTTTTTTATTGAAGCAAGATTTCTGGTGGAAAACATAATTCGTAAAAAATAAAAATAGTAAAATTGATAACGTCATATGCTGTAAATATTTGACTGTATTTCTGCAATTATTTTGAAAGCCTCTTGGAAAATCAAAAAATGACCTTCCCAATGCACCATTTTTTTTTTTTTTTTAAACTATTCGAATAATAATAGTAATAATAAAAATATTTAATAATTGTACAATTATATGTAGTAAATAATACATTTTTTTTAAAAAGTAGAAATAAAATAATACTAAAATGTATTAATGTTCATTATTATTATTAAATCTATTTTTACCACATTGGCATTTGTTTTGCAAGGTGTTAATATAAATTTACTGCCTTCATATTCTAATCTAAAAAAATTACAGTTATAGTTGACAAGATACGTTTTTCACCTCTATTCCTAATACACTATCCTGCATATATTTGTAAATTACCCGTATTAAAAAGATATTGAACAGACACTTTATAATTAATTAGTAGTATGTTCACAAGTGCAAAGTGATGTCCAAATAACTTACTCAATTTGTTGTACTTGATATAGTTCATAAATCTCATAAGACGTGGTGTCATTAGTAATTTCTCTTATAGTTTTGTTCCCTCGTTAGGTCTAGAATAATAATCAAAACAATTATTATTTTTTGGAAATGTTTCAAATTAATTGTAACCATTCAACATTGATGGCAATGCACAGATAAATAAATTGTACAAACTAAAAATTAAAATTGATAAAATTAGCAAGGTAATGTTTTAATTACTCACTCCATTTGTATTATTGTATTTTCTTCCTGTAGATACGATGTTATCAGTAGTTGTTTCGTATATTTTCTTGTATGGAATTTGCTCATTAAATCTAGAATAACAATTAAAAATATGCCTTTTTAGACAATATAATAAATAATAATATTTTGTAATAAAAAGTTTTTAATGTCAGTTGACCAAAATAATTTGATTAGTCCAGTACTTAAAAGAATAGGAAATTTATTAGCACAAGCTGAAACTTAGTAGTTTCGTAAATAAAACTTATATACGCTTTATGTCAATTTTTTTACAACAAAAGTGTTTTATATAATCTGTTATTATTGAATAATACTAAAATACCTAGGAGTAAACATTAACCAACAAGCATATAGCCATCAGGAGTTTTACCAGGGAAAAACAGCTGAACTTGTGTCATTATTACGGTTGGAATGGTGCACTAAAAAATAGCTAAATTTACACGAAAAATGGTCAAAATATAGATATAAAAATAACAAAAGTAAAATTTCAAATAAATATAGAATCTAATTTATTTATAAATATCTATTATTATTAAGTTTTTATCGTAAAAAATATGATTAAAAACAGAAAAAAGCCAAACTATGGACTTATAAACAAAAAAAAAAAACCGGAAAACTTACAAAATTAAAGTTGAATATTTGTAACAATAACGTTTTGAAATAAATTTCTATTCAATAGGAGAATTATTAAAAAACAAAAATCCCAATTCTAATCGTTATTTAAGTCAAAATTGAATTACTGTTACAAAAGACGAAAATAAGTCTATACTACGAAGTACTCATAAGACTTATACTACTTACTACTTACTGTACACATGTGAAATATGGGCACGAACAAAATCAACGAAACGAGATCCAGAGTTAAAAAAAAAACTAATTAAATATTATCATTACAAATTTTAAAATATTTATACTTATACTGGGTCATATGCATGGATATTAATATTTTATAGTTACCCACTTACTTACATTAGTGTATTTACTTACTTTTTTATTTGTCGAAGAACATTCAATTTTTTTTTTTTTCATTTTCATAACGTATATTTCTTAATTTTTTGTTGTTAAAAACTGTGAACACAATTATAAATTAATGTGATTAACATTTGAATGAGTAATTATAAAAACGCTTCTTAAATATAGGTATCCCACAACGGTATAATATTAATTGACACAAAACATCCCGATCGAAAACCAAACTCGTAATCGTATTGCAGAAGAAAAATGATTTGGAGTGAGAAAAACTCTTTTCGATTCACCCCAATGTTCAATCCTATCAAACGGGTGTCAGATAATATCGATAAACGATGTTCGTTAAAATTGAAATCTGAACCTAACGATTATACGCGTTTGTGTTTTGATCACGGCTCGGGTTCGGGTCTCGTAGCGCTTTGTTTGGATTTCACAACGAATCCGGTAGAGTGCCGTGGAAATGTATGCGTTATGTTACGAGTGAAATAGGATGAAAGCGTTTTGTTTGTTTGTTTTTTTTTTTTTCTATCTGATAGTTTTCCGAGCGATTATTTCCGTTATTAAATAGGCTCCGAACGCGATTTATCCAACGCGCCGGTTTATCGGCCGACGGGTGCCGCGGCCCGTTGGTCCCCGAACACCGATCACGACAACAAAACGAACGTACTTTGTTCAAATGTTCCCAGGCGCACGCACCGAGAACCGCGCGTATCGGTACACCGCCGAGTTGGATCCGGTCGGTAGGCATTGACTGTCGAACCGAGGGTCCGGTCGATCCAGGACGCTGACGGGAGAAACCGCGTCCGCGACGTTACACGCGCGTGTTGTCCGTACCGTTACCGGTTATAATATTAAAACGAAATGGTTTTCGGAAAGAAAAAAAAAAAAAACAAATAAACATTACGAGAATTACGGAGCGAGGATTTATGACCGTAGATAAGCCACGGTATGATAGCGAAACGAGATTCCGGTAAATTAAAATTACTGCCAACCGCGCATGAACACGCGAGACGTAATGTCGGTAATATCCGTGCTGCCAACCGCCGCAAACGTAATCGTCACGCCGTACGAAAAGATCGTAGCTACCGGATCAACCGGAGACGGGTCGTCTACAACAACGTTCGCGATCGCGTTTCCATTCGCCGATCACGCGTTTCAAACTCGCAACGGGTACTGTCGGATCCTCCCCGGGCGGAGGTTACAGTGGTAACCGCAGAGTGGATTTTATCTGCTGCGGCGTAACCGCTCACGTGCGTGCGTGACATTCGTCGCTAATGTTAGCTGCATGTATGAATTACGGTCGCGGTTAGGTAGCCGCGCAATCATCTGCCTACTCGTGAGAGAGACTCTATGGGGAAAAAAAAAAAAAAAAAAAAAAAAAAAAAAAATAAAATAAAATGTTTGAATGTTTTTACCGCCGCCGCCCCCCCCCCTCACCATCGAGGGGGCAATTCAGCCGCTCGATCGGACGGCAGGTTTTTAGCGGCGGTCACCGTCCCCGGTGGGTTTTTGAATGCGTACCGTTGGAAAAACGGAAAACAAAAAGCGCCAGCGTTCAGCGAAACGCCCGGGCCGGATTCGGGGTTTTGGTGTCGGCCGAGATTCCGACGAAGTTGTCTCGGCGAAGTGGCGCCGAAACGGCGAGAAATATTAAGAACCACTGATCTACGGGCGCAGGTGTAGCACACTACGCCGTCGCCGCGCCGCGTCCTGGGACCCTGGTACACGGATCGCGGTTTCGACGGCGTCGTCATCGCAGGCTCCTCCCCCGCGGCGTGGTCAACGTCGCCGCCAAAGGCCGGCCGCCACGTCCCGTTACGGCGACGATAATAACGGGGCACGACCGTTTCCGACCGACATTTGTCTGTTGGATTCAAACCCGCGGGCCTTTTACTATTGTTATTGCCGTTTCGGTCGATCCGATCATCCGTTGTCCGCGGGCACCGTTACGTTCCGTACTGTTGCGCGATGACGCGACGACAACCACCAACGACGGCGGACGCGACGGGCGGCCAGTGTCCTTTGACGGTGACGTTGGCCGCGCCGCCGGGGAGGAGCCTGCGATGACGACGCCGTCGAAACCGCGATCCGTGTACCAGGGTCCCATGGCACGGTCGACGGCCGCGGCGTACCGAGACGCGCACGGCGGCGCGCGCACCCGTCGTCTTTATCCGCGCGTTGACGGGGCGGCGGTTGGAGGGGGGCGATACGTTTTCGTAACAATCCGCGACGTGGAAGGGAGGGGGGCCGGAGCGGATTGAAGCGGAGACTGTTTATTTTCGTTCTGTTTTTTTTTTTTTCATCGGGTTCTCGATTCCCGCCTGTTGAGGACGCCCATAAATTATTTATTTTTTTTCTCCCCCCCTGCCGCTTGTTTTTTGCTCCAACCGACGCGATTTCGCTTGTTAACAAATCGTGGTTCGTTTACGCATTGTTTTCCGACAAGTGTTACAGTGTTTTCGCTCCCTCCTCCCCCCCCCACCGATCAAAATCCCTATTCGAACGAGTGTACGGACGTGGCCGAACGCCCCGATCATTTTCCTATTGTCCTATTTATCATTCCGGATATGACGTTAAACACGTCGGGTTTTTATTAATTGCTATAAAATTTCAAAAAAGAAACGCATCGTCTCGCCCTCCGAAACATTGTCCTCTTTTAATTTAATAAACACGCGCTTATCATAATAATCCGGGCGGCGCATCGATTCATTTTATTCGTACATTTGTTTACGAGTGTTAACCATTTCGGATAATTTTGTTTTTACACTACCAATTACCACAGTAAGTCGGTGTTTAAAACAAAAATAGCAAATTTTAACTTTCTTATTCAATAAAAGGTTTTTTTTTTTTAACACCGCGCAGTGTCCACGCGTCGTTCAAATATAAAACGGACAATTGGCGACGAATAAGCGACGAGGAATGCGACGCCGTTTCGTAAGTCCGATTGCCGCGGTAAATATACGCTATTAAATTAAATTGAATTACATTCGATCCCCGCGTACGGTTTTCTAGCGCGTTGTTAACAAATCGCCGGACACACGTTACGCGTTATTACCGCACGGCGCCACGTTTCAATTATTATTTCGTCATTGTCTCGTGGTTCGGACGACACGTCGTTACCGCACGTCGCGCCGCGAACGTTTGAAACCGCCGACGGAGGAAAATGAAAAGACGGACGCACCTCGCACGACGGCGGGCGGGCCACCGGCTGCTGGCGAACAGTCGGCAAGGCCGGTGGTCCCGGTGGCCGATCCAACGCGCGCGTGTACCGTCGCTAACCAAAACCGATTCGGAGCGCGGTTTCTTTTGTACCGCCGGTTTTTTGCCAGATATTCCCGATCGCCGTGCACGCCGCCGGCATCGGAAACGCGCGATAATCGACCGCCCGGATGAGATTTCCGTTCGGTAACGGCGCCGCCGCGTTCGCTCGAAAACCGGACCGACGTTTCCGGCTCGCGGATTAATCCGATTAATCGCGGGGGAAAAAAACGAATAAATAAAACGTCCGCGTACCCGAAACGCCGTTGCCGCGCGCGTGCAGATTCCGTTTCCGTTCCCTTCCCCCCCCCCCGGCACGGCCTCTCGCCGCGCGCGGGCGACGGCGAGGACGGCGCGGCGTCGCGACCGTTACGACGAGTAAACAACGCGAGCGCGCGCCGCACAGTGCGCGTCCGCAACACTAGCGCGCGCGTAAGAAACCGCGCCACGTCGTCGGGGCACGCGCGGGCCACGGCGTCGTCCGCTGTTGCCGTTGTCGGAAATTCATTCGCCGCGGCCAGTCTCGGTTTTTGTCGCGCGATACTTGCCCGCGAACCCCGTTCCGTCCCCTGACCGCCAAAAGGGAGAAAACGGAAATCCGTCCGACAGCGACCGCGGAGGATCGGGAACAAACGCCGACGATCGATTACGGAGCCGGCGCGCGATAATTCCAGGTAGGTCGACTGTCCGGCGTGACCAACGGATAAAACACCCGGGGGGCGGGGGCGGGAGGGGACACACCGAAACGCCGGGTGTCTGAAGTTTCCCGCGTGCCCGACCCGGTCGGTTTACACGTCGGCCGTAACGGGGGACACGCGTTGCTCGCGTTTGGATAACGGTCGGAAGGTGTTTTCATTTTTATTCCAACCGTTTAAAACGCGCGTTTCACGAATTCCGGATTAACCGTGACGCAGTCTGATCGGCGATTCGATCTGCGGTCGAACCGGTCGTTCGATTCGAATTTCGAGATTTGTTCAACGTTCATTTATTGCAAAACGGTAAAAACAGTGTATTGCCAGTAAACCAATACCGAGACGTACAGACGACAACGTGAGAAATTCAATGCTACGTGCCGATTGTCCGGTGATTACGGCGCGATGGCGCGAAACGTGGGCGGACGACTCGCCGACAAGCGCAAATGTCCGATCAAACGATAAGGTTTCGGTAACGCGGCCCGGTCGCGTGTACGCGAAATAGAAGCTCGCCGGTTTTGCGTACCGTGCCGGCGAAAAACCGGCGTTTACTTTCGACCGGGTTCGTCTGGGTCACGGGTTAAACAATTTCGCAATTAAACATATTAGTAATTATCTATAAAACCATAGGTTGGAGAGCGTGGTCTTTAAAATGTTCGATTTTTGTTGAAAAAAAAAAAAATCGTAGTCGTAATTTACCATTTATTAATCAATCGTTGAAAAACCACGTGCAAAATGTAGAAACTATTGCATTAGTTGCGTCGATTTTCACATTCTGAGCGAACGAGGAATGTATTGGTTTTACAATGATGTTTATTTTTTACACCGTGTTTCTACCAGAAATCTTGCTTCGATTTTCAAGTAAAGCACCTTTTTCGAAAGGAAATTTGTTCGAGTTGGTATTTTTATGAGATCATTTTTTGATTTTCCAAGCATTGTTCATAACAATTGGGGAAACCAAGAAAATTTACGAAAACAATGCTTTTATTATTTTTAATTTTGTTTTTTTTTTTTTTGTTGTAACTCATTCGGAAATATTCGCAGACACTTGAAATTTAGACAGAAAACTTATATTTGCATTTTCTAGACGTAATCAAACTTTAAAACTATTTATGACATTCTTGAGTTATTTATAGACATTTTATTTTGCGAGTTTTTTTCATGTAATTTCTATTCGGTAGGTACTCTGTGGATAAAATTGTTTAACCAAACAAAAATACTGCAACATTTGTTTCGGGGTTATTATAAATCGTCAATAAAACACCTATTATACATCTAGGCTGGTGTATTTTAATAATTGTTCGACACACCCTAATTTTTTAATATAGCCGCCACTGAATATAATAGGAACCAATAAGGTACTCATATTATTTGTACTTGTATATTATTAAAAAAGACGGACATACTTCACACGTAGGTGGGTCACTGTTGTAGGTGAGAAGTTGGGGAGGTAGGGGTGAAATTTAATGTCTGTAAGCAACGATTAACCGTTGCTAACGAAAAACGATTCTGAACGGGGTTCGGTTAATAGTGATTGCCTTTTTAACAACATATGCCGTATTATAGTAAAATAATTACATGTGCATTATACATTTTTTTTAATAATATTTGTTGAATATTGTACCTATTTCCCGTTTTTTTCCCGGTTTTACCTATGTTTTTTTCCCATTTATTATGAAAATAACTGGAAAAAATCAAAATTGACCTCTTTAAATTATCACCCCGGTCAGATTTCTTTTTAGAAAAAGTTCTCTTATTGTAAATAGGAGCAAAATTGCTGGTAGAAAAGTTGTTCACAGACAAAAAAATAAAATAAACAACATTGTAAAACTAATACACTCTTCGCTCTCCTCAGAATCTAAATGATTTTGAGTAGGACGGAGTACTTGTTTTAGGATAAAAGCACTAAATATGCAAGCACTTATGCACTTAAAAACCCTATAATATGTACTAAAAATATGTTCTTAAATTTTTTTTTTTTAAAGCAATTTCTTTAAAATTCTTCTTTTGATCTTAAAATATAAAATTGTTTGTGTTAACTGTTTATAAGTAAAATTAATCTAATCGGTGACCCCTCGAGACGTATTTCAAGGAAAACATGTTATATGTTTATAAAACAACCTTAATACCCGTAGGCGTGCGTAGGAATTTTTCGCGGGGCGTACAGAATAATTTTAGTAGGGACTCTACTACAATCTATTAAGATAATTGCCTCTGTATTACAATAATTCAAATTTAGTTTATAATTTGTATTTGTATACATTGTTACATTAA